AAAAACAAGGGCGCGGTCCGTTTTTTCTCGGAGCGGATGCCCCGACTGGTCCGTTGAGTCGGTGGGTCTTATTGGGATGGCCGTTGGCAAAAAAAGAAGGGCGCGGTCCGTTTTTTCTCGGAGCGGATGCCCCGACTGGTCGGTTGAGTCGGTGGGTCTTATTCGGGGGCCCTTTTTTGAACGGTTGCGGGTTTTCAGCGTGTGTGGTTGGTGGTTTCTGTCAGTTGTGTTCTTCTCTTTTGTTTCTGGATTTTAGTTACGTAAGCGTGGATTCTGTAATCCGTGGGCAAGGCCCCACGAGCAACGAGGATGCTATTTCCCGCTCTCCGCTGACGGACCGTTCGTCGGGGGGAGTCCGCGCAAAAAGTGCGCTAACGTAGCGGCGATAGCGGCGGTGGCGGCGCCCGGTCGTCGGAGGCGGCTGCATAGGTTGTGACGTTGAGATTTGGTGACGCTGATCTTTCACGTGGCGCCTACCCTGCCAGGCACCATAGCTGTGTGAGAGCTATGGCGACAGTGCCCTGGCGGAACCTTGCCCTTGAGTGGGGAGGGAGTGCTTTGCACTCATCGCCTTGGCATCCTGGCAGTCCCATACTCTACACTTGAAGTCTATACCAACCTTTATACCTAATAGCATCCAGATACCAGAGGAGCCGTCCTCCCCTTAAGCCTTTTGCTCGTAAGGGGGGGCTCCTTTTCAATATCCAAAGGCCGGGTGTTGGATACGCAGGACATGTTACTTCGATMGCCTCGGTCGTTAAGAAAGCACGGATGGCGGGGCGGCGCATCTGGATGCAGTGGGAGAGCGTACGGTTGCGGTGGCAGCGCTTCGGCTTGTCCAAGGGTTATAGCGAGGCTCGGTCGTTCTATCTACGGTGCAGGGCAGTCTGAGTCTTTTTATATACTTCATGTTTGGTGTTATTCTCTTAAATTGGTCGTCATAATTGTTTTAGTATCCGTTCCTGGGTTATGTGTAGGTTGAAGACCCATGATTGATTGATTTATCTGTTGGAACATTTCACAGCGTTTTCCTTCGTGTGTTGGTTGCTTTAATTTGTGGCTTTGTCTTGGGACCGCTTCTGTTGATGGCGATGTAGTGTTTCACGTATAGGAAACAGTGATGTAGGGCCACTTACACCTTACAGAGTTCGTCACTCGTAAGTGGCCGGGGTATCCTTGTATTGGTTTAGGGAATTCCTCACAGGGTTGGAGGGTATGAGAGACCCGGTGAAGAGCAAACTAGCGTTGTATCCATTGGGTGCGTGGTGGGAAACCCGTCTAGGCAACAAAGGCTCTTTACAGCGTTTTTGATAGTGAGGTTGAGGAGGTAACCCTAATGTTTATCCCTGTCCCAATTCTGTTTTGAAAGATTGTCTAGTTTCTATCTTGTAGATCTTATGTGTGTTACTCTGTTATTTTTGGAATTTGGACGGTTGTAATGACTTGAAGCCTTATGGGTGGTGGCGCCAACAGCGGGAGTGGGAGTCTCACAAGTGGCGGTGGGAACGTTTCCCGAAGGCGATGAGTTAAACACGTCTTAGATTCTCGGTATTCTGAAGTGCTGGGATATGCTTGCAGTAGTCTTGGATGGTTCTCACAGGGTAGGGATGATACGAGAGACCCGGGGAAGAGCAAACTAGAGTTGTATCCATTGGGTGCGTGGGGGGAAACCCGCCTAGGCAACAAAGGCTCTTTACAGCGTTTTGGATAGTAAGGTTGAGCGGGCAACCCCAATGACTATTTCCTCTTCCCAGCATTTAGCTATCGAGATTTCTTTTTGTAGTCCGATATATTTTGGAATTTGGATTGGTTGTTTTTAATCGTTTGCCTCCTCGGATGACATATTTCATAGAGATAATTTTACTACATTCAGTTTAAAAATTGTATGTGTGTCAATGCTAAAAACCCGGTAGGACCGGGGGGTCCTCCCCCAACCGGAACCGGACCGGTCCTACCGGCCGGTCGACCGGGCCGGTTCCCCCCCGGTTGGCTGTAGCGCATCTTTTTTTTTTTTTTAGCCCATTGTGTTGTTGAGGCCAAGGACTAGACCCACAGTGATTGCTGGCAGCTGCAGCCGGTGGTTGTCCTGACAGGATAGGCCACCTTCCCTACCCTTCCCCACGTTAAACCACCAGTACTTGGCCCAGCTATTAATGGCTCCGTGACCTGCCGCATTACAGTCGGACCATGATCAACGGCCGGGCAGGGAAGAAGGTTTATTCCTCGATGAACAGCGCCCGGCGAGAACGCGGATTTCTCATTAATCAGCTCGTGTCAACAATTTTTTTTTTTTTTTTTTTTTTTTCTTTTCTTACAAACAGTTTACTTCCACTCCCTCATGGGGCATTTTCGCAATTAATGGCTCAGGGCAAAACAGCCCCTCAGCTCGTTCATCGCTACCATGTGTGCAGCACTGATAGCGGGACGGCTCAGGGCTGTGCATGGTGATGTGATTTGATCTGGTGACATGTCCCCCATTCTTCCCAGCTCATACGTAATGAAGCCCCCCTGAGTAGGGTGGTTTTCCCCGTTCCTTCTCATTTTTAGTAGACTTCATTTTTTTCTTCTTCCCCCCTCCCTTCCTTGTACTAGTGTGATGACGCCTAGCTGGAAGACGATTCGTTTTCGCGAGATAAGGAACGTCCGTGCGGCATTCTGTGACATCAGAAGTCGACACGTGCGCTTCTTCTTGCTGCGCGCATTCGTCTTCTCCTTCAGTCCGGTCGAGGGACTGTCCCGCAGATTCTCATCGTTTGCTGTGATTTCGAATTCCGATGCGCACGTGGTTGGGCGCCTTCTGCAGGCGCCCACTTCGGCAGCCTCGCCATCTCCTCAGGAGGTATCACCACTCTTGATCGACAACTCGGTACGGTTCGTTGCTTCACATCCATCCCCGACACAGGATTGTCAGTCTGTAATCGCGAACCTGGTGGTTTCGCCTCAGAAATGGCTGTACTATGTCCTCGAGCAGACCTGCTCAAACAGCAGCGTTACGTCGATCAGAAAGGCCAATTTGTCGAGAGAGAGAATTGCAGAGCGCCCGAATTCGACGGCTTCCGTGATGGGGATGGCCCTTTCGAAAGATGGTTCCCATCTCATCTTGAGCGTAACCTACCCCTTCTCCGATTCTAATTCTGCTATGTCCTTCCGCAATGGCAGCATCACGTCCTTGTCTGTTTCTGACTCCTCCGGTCTTTCTTCCTCCTCGCTTTCCTTTCAGGACATTACCAAAATCGGTTTGGACCCTTCCGGAGAGCGTCTGGTTTATGGTACGGACGGTCGCGGGGGACTCCAATATATTCAGGTCGATGGCTCGGGACTTCCGTTGGATGTACCGAACCTGGGTTGGGATACTGCGCGTAGGTACATAGATCAAAATCACGTTGATGACGCCATATTCCAATCTCAAAGCTTTGTGAACAGTAACAACAGTTGCCTTTATTTTTCGCAGACAGATGCGAAGCAGCTGCTCGGGTTTCACCAGAAYATCGTGGGRACCGGACCCRCAGTGCTATGGACCTTCCCAWTYAAAACGGAACGTACGGATGATTTTGTCGTCACTCGAGACGGGTGTCATCTCTTTTTTACCCTAGGGTTTCGTCTATATAGTGCGGACGTCCGCACACGATGCTCTCAGGTAGGAAGTGGGATGTATGAGATGGGGTACCGACGGGGTAGACTTACGGGACTGGCATTGATGGAGAATGAAGTGGGGGAGGACGCATACTTATACATGGGCTCTGAGGACGGGCACCTTTTTGAAGTGCAGTTGAACAGGTCCGGCAGAGGCCGTGTATTAGAAGCGGAACAAATCCATTCCCCTGTTCCCGCTCCAGCTGGATCTGGCATCACTGTTCTGGTAACAACTGTGGTGGCTGTCACAGTGGTCGGCATGGTAATCATTGCCAGCTTGATTTGCCTATGGAGGAGAGCGCGCCGCCGACCAGCTGGTCTGGAACGTGCCCTGGAAGTCGGTGAGCAAGCAAAGTCATCTTCACCGGAAGATGAGGCGTTGGACGCGTGGGGAATTAAGCCGTTGCGGGTCAAGCAGTTCACTTTCAGAGTCCTGTCGGAATGTACGGACAGATTCAGCGAGGGTCGAAGAATTGGGGAGAAGGGAGCGTTTGGGAAGGTTTACAGAGGCTCGCTCGACGGCGAGGAGGTCGCGATGAAGGTGATGACGGGTGAGCTAACGGACACCAAACAGAGCCAGTTTGTCGCGGAAGTGAACACCCTCAGCGGGCTCAATCATGCTAACCTCGTACGACTAGTCGGGTACTGCCTCGCGGGCGATCACTGCATCTTGGTGTACCCTTTTTTCAGAGGAGGCAGCCTACACAGGCGGCTGTCGGCCAAGGCCGTCGGTGGGAAGGATGCAAAAGCGCCGGAGACGGACCAAATTGTCGAGAATCCATCCCCTCCGCTGACGCTTCTGGAACGCATGAGCATCGCCTTCCAGGTTGCGAAGGGGCTTGGCTACCTTCACGACGACGCCAGGCCCCCCATTATCCATCGGGATGTCAAGAGCAGCAACATTCTGCTCGGCGAGGGATCTGGAGAGAAGCTTCACGTTGTCGTATCGGATTTCGGATTAGCAGCCATCGGGGAGAGAGTATTGGGCACAGGACATGACCACGTCGTGCTGACCTCTCACATTGGGGGCACTTTCGGGTATATGTCGCCCGAGTACATGCTGAGAGGAGAGCTGTCCGAAAAGAACGATGTGTACTCTTACGGGGTACTCGTTCTGGAGCTGTTGACGGGCAGGAAGGTGGTCGCGCCGGCTCCTTCCAGGCTGGGATGGCAGACGCTCGTCGAGTGGGTAAAGCCTTTCCTTCGAGGGGCAGTCGTCCAGAGCGAGAGTATGGAGATGCCGTACCTGATACTCGATCCGTGCTTGTGGGATCAGGTGGCTGGAGATTCGATGACGAAGAATATGGTGATGAACACATTCCGACTGGCTTGGGAATGCGTCCCAGAGGAGTATGGGTCCAGACCAGCCATGAGAGAAATCATTCAGCGCATGCACAATATGTTCCTGGACGTGGGTTGGGATGGCCTGACGGTGATGATGGTGGACCTAGAAAACAATGTGGATGATGATGCGGTAGCCGCTACACGAGGTCTCAGGGAAAGATGAAGGTATGTTAAAAGCGGATTTAGTCAGGTTTCCCGACCAGGCCTGCTGTTGAGGACTGCCGTTCTCTCTCTCTCTCTCTCTCTCTCTCTCTCTCTCTCTCTCTCTCTCATACACACACACACACACACACACACACACACGCTCGTACAGGCACACACACATGCACACGCGCGCGCGCGCAAAGATGGTGCGTGCGTGTTCGTGCGTTTGTCTCTGTCGTGCACCGCCCTCTCCACATTTTCTGTGTTTTTGCAACGCCCTCTCCACATTTTCTGTGTGTGTGCGGGGGCCGGATGATGTCTTTCAGAAAGTTATTAGCGCAAGGCTTTGCCTCGCCCGTACCGAGTTTTCGAAT